GGTGACTTCACTCTGTCTTCTCCCCTGGACCTCTGGGAAGCCACATCACCCCAGGGCCCAACCTGGACCGATCAGTGTACTTGACTTCTTCCCGTCTTCTTCAAGTCTAGAGAAGGGAGGGACTGCTGATGCTGCGTTTTTGCATGGAAGAATTCGTTGAGGGTTAGGAGGTTAAGGGACTATTCAAATTCATGAAGCTTTTACAGCTGATGCTGGGCTCCCAACCCAGCTGCCACGGTCCTCAGAAGCGCCCCCTGCTGGCCATGTGATGCTTGCACGCTCAACAGCTCTCTGCTCCCCAGTTTGAGTAGACTGATCACCTGGTAGAGAAACTCCCCAAGGTGGGTCCCTCTGGCCTGGTCCAGCCTCCCTCCACTGCCTCCCCTGGCACCCTGCCCTCTAGCCCACCAAGCCCCCAGCTCACCTCTGCCTTCCACGGGGATTACTCCTCCCCCATGTCCACTGTAGGGCCCAGAACCTCCCCTTAGGGTGCCCCAGCACTGCAGCCTGGCTGTGACCTCTGCCTGGGGTGGACCCTCTGAGCTACGTGAACAAAGCACACTGCCCCTCCTCTCCACAGCCCATTCTCAGAACCACATCCAGGCCATTGCTAGCGCAGGGCCTGTTCAGTTCTCCTGCTGGCCTCTCCCGTCAGCACACCCTCTGCTTGGCCCGCGTGGCTGCCAGGCCGCTGGCCATCCTGCATCCTACTCTCTGCACAAGCTGGGATTTGACTTTCCAACAGCTCCAGCCTGACAGCGGGCCGGAGAGGCGCTCCCCCTGACCAGGACCCTGCCACTGCCGCGGGGCACCTCCCGCCACCTACTTGGCCCAGGACACACAGGCGGACTCAGAGGAAATGCCAGGTGACTTACGTTGATGTCTTCCAAATCCAGGAAGTTCAAGGTGAGCCCATTGCGCTTCCAGATGATCGGTGGCCTCAAGTCTCCTCGGATGGCGCAGGTGAGCACTGTGCTCAGCCCCACAGTCACAGTGGTCACACTGACCCGGTCCTCGGGGGCGAGGCTGAGCTGCAGCACCTCTGCAGAGAGGAAGGAGACGGTGGTCAGGGACGGCCAGGCCCGGGCCTAGGCCCAGGGCGTGGAGGCTGCACCCCAGGCAAACGACCACAGATTTACTTAAGGGCAGGGGCTGGAAGGGCTTTCAGGTGCCCTGAAGACGGCTGGCCGTGTGCTGAGAACCTGCACAGATGGACCCTTCTGCAGGGAGAGAGGCCGCGACTTCAGTCATATGCCCAAGAGGCTCTGTGACTCGGACTGGACCGGGAACCACGGCTCAAGTGCAGGGAGCTGTGTGGGCTGTGGATTTGTGATCGGAGCTGCATCCCAGAGACAGGCCAGGGAGCAGCTGTGCAGCGCCCTCTGGGGAGTGTCGGGCCTCGTGGAGTCTCAGCCTTGCTGAGTGCAGTCAAGGTCTGCTGGGTGGGCCGATGGGCTTCTCACCCACTGGGGACGATTTAAAGGTTGCACGGTCTGAGGTCTGGGGAGGAAACCGGCTGACCTTTGAAGGCTGAGACTCACTCGGACGTGGACTTGGATTTCTGCTCCATGGCCATACACTGCAGCCTTTCATGTTTTCAACATGTACTTCAGGCTGTGCGGACTGCTAATCCTTGCCATTTATACTTGATAACTGGCATGAAGACTGCTCATGTTTTAGGCAAATGGGGAGGGTCCAAAGCATTTACAGGCTTTTTGAAAATCTCAGGATTTGTAAAGAAATTGATCAAGCTCACACTGCTCAAATGCCAACACAGGACCGGGCTTGACGGGGAGGGGCAGCAGCCCACTGCCTGGGTGTCCTCCACTGCCTGGGTGTCCTCCCAGGCTCTTCTCCCAAACCTGCCCACTCAGGGGGCTGGGAGACGTCAGCAAAAATGTCAGAAGCTCTATTCACTTTTGTCACTTTGTCGGGTCGTGGGGAGTCCTGACGGAGGTGGCCCCTCAAAAAATTCCAGAGCTAAGCCCAGATCTGGGAGCTGAGCTCTGTGACTCAGAGGGACACTGTGCATGGTGACCAGGCAGCAGCTCCTCTGCAGGCAGCACATCGGGGCTGTGTGCCACGCCTGGTGGAGCAAGTGCACTGACAGCAGCACCCAAGGTCAGACCCCAGCAGCAGAGCCCCTCCAGCCCAGGACTGACACAGCGTACACCAGTGTCTCACCAGTGCCTCCTGGATGGATGCACAGAGAGATAAACACCGGAAGTAAAGGGGCCAGTAGTGAGGGGGCAATCACACGTGGGCAAGGTGTGACTGAGGGTGAGGAGCCGGCGTGAGAGAAGACAGGCCCCAAGCAAGGGATGGGTGCAGAAGGAATGTGAGAGTGTGAGAATACCAATACCAGCGACATGTGTTTCTAGCTCCTCCTGGATACTGCTGAGCTGGCTGCCCTCCCCTCGATGAGCTCCGCCCCTGCCCCCTGGGCCAGGCTTTGGAGCTGCACAGCCGGGATGGAGAACAGAATTTGCTAGAACTCTCTGGGTTCCGCTCAACTCTGCAGGCCTTCAAGACTCAGAACCCACAGTTCTCCCAAGGGAATGGCCCTGAGCCTTGAGGGGTGCACGGTGCCAGGGGGTGTATCCTGACCCCAGGATGCGAGTCCAGACCAAGAGCATACCCAGGATAGGTCTCAGCCACACTGCCCCAGGCAGAGTGACCAGGAGGTGGGAGCCAGGGACAGCAGTGGTGACTTTGCTGGCCCCCTGCACACTCAGAATCCAGTCTAGAAGTGGCAGGGACACAGACGGAGGTGAAATGCATGTGTCTTGCACAGAGTGAGACTTCCATGTGCTGTTCTGGGTGTCAGCTGCACTTGGCTCTGCCACTCATTGGCTGTTTGGGGCTTGTGAAGAAGTCACGTTAATTGCTTTCTCTGCCCATGTGAGCTCTGGTCAGACCAACTGCACAGTCAGGGAGGGGGCCTGCATCTCACTGAGGGGTTGGTGAGCAGCACAGACACCCGCCCTGGGGCTGCCACGCTCTCTGGTGGGGGTGGAGGGCACCCTGATTTTCACAGGCATCCCAGGGTGCTGCATGGAGCCCGAAGCCTGAGATGGGAGGGGGTAGCCGGAAAGGGGGAGTTTGGGTGGGGGGGATGAGGAGCTCAGGCATCCGGGCCCTAAGAACCAGGCCCCATGGGAGATCTAGGGCCCCACCTCCACATAGCCCCAAAGTCATATTTCAAAGTAGGTCTGGGAGGAGCCTGTACCACGACGCTGAAAACAAACAATGAAGGCCTGAGTGGGAGCTGGCGGGTGGGGGGCTCCTGTGCCAGCGGCTCCCACAGCACACGTCCATCAGTGCAGGCACAGAGGCGGCACCTCGCACCGCAGGCCGTGGGCAGCAGGGAAACGTGTGGGCGCCGACAGCGCCGTCGCAACTCCACGCCTGCTGGCTACACAAACATCAGCCACACAGCAAACACTCAGGTCACTTAAAGATTAATTAAAAGGGTGTTCTATTGGATTTAATTTGTGTCAATATTCCCCAGTTCCTTTAAAAATCCTGAAGACTGACAGCCATGGAGGCCCCTCCTCCCGCTCTCACGCACAGGGGTCTACCTGACAGCAAGCCTCCCCCACGGCCCCCACGGCCCCCACAGGCCTGACTGCCGCAAGTGACAAGACCATGACCTCCTAGGGTGAAAGGCGAGATGGCTTTTCTGCTTGTGCTGGGGTGCGAGTGAGCAGGGCAGGGCCCCGGGCGCCAGGCCTGCTCTGCTGCTGGCATGCTGGGCAGCCCTAGGCCTCAGCTCTTGTCCCAGAACTTGGCTTAGACACCGAGGAAAGGACTGGTTGGGCTGAGAGGCTCTGGGGCCCAGCCTGCTGTGAGGTTCTGGGTTGGATACCGTCTCAGTCCTTTAAGTACTGCCTGCTGCACCCCCCACTGTCCCCAGTGCTCCTGGGCCCCTGTTCTTTACCTACTTGCCTCAGTGGTAAAAGCAAACCACAGGTGCAGAGTCTGATGGCTTCCCTGATTCCCTTGGGAAAAAGAGGCCCACGTCACCTGCACTGCAACAGCTATGAGGTCAGTGGGGGATGGGGAAGCACGACAAAGCCCTTGTGGAGGACACCAGCTGCACCCTGTGTCCCGCAGGGCCATCCTAGGCCTCACTGTTCTGTGCTCTGGTGTCTGGCCCACAGCAGCTGGGATCAAGGCAGGAAGATGTCCTTGGTTTTTCAGATACTCAGCGTCACAAACACAGTGCCGGCTTCTCCCCTGCACACTGGGGCCTGGGAGAGGAGTAGCCACAGGTCATGACGGGGCCACTGCTCCAGGCACAGGAGCCTCCTGCCTGGACAGTGGCACACTGGTTGCAGGTGAACCAGGCTTTAGTTCCGGTTCCAGCATTCACTTCCTCCCAGGCATTCTCTCTCACTCGACTTGAACATGAAGAGCCACCCCTCAGCCCATCGGCACCCTCCTTCCAGGATTCCGGAGCTTTATAGCCACAGAAACTAAATTCTTCAAAGGCTTGTCAAGTCGTGTTGACTTTCTCACATCTGGGATGCACTAAAGGAACACAGCCCTGCCTGGACACCGGCCGTGTCCAGCGACGCTCCTGGGGAAGACACCTGTCAGAAGCTCCGTCAGGCAGCTCACAGGGTCCTATTCTTGCTGATGCCCTGAAGGGCAGACCCAGGGGCAGGGCCCTGCTTGCGCAGGAGGGCAGTTTGGAGGGAGACCCTGGGCCAGGCACTGCAATACTGTATCGATCTGGTCTCGGCCTTGTGGCCAGGGCCATACTGTGAAGGTGGTGAGTGGGGGAGAAACCAAGGTGGAGTCTGTGTGGCCACTGGGCCTTGTGACTTTAACTGTGTTCACACAGTACAGCTTCTTTGGCTTGCCCTGGGGGGACAGTGCTGGCTGTGTGGGCAGGTGTTCCGTGTTTTTTTGCCTTTGTTCCCTCAGTGGAGCTGCCACTCTGGGCCCCTTCCAAACACCTGCTGACATTTGCAGGTGGGTGGCTGGGGACAGGTGCGATGCAGCCTTTGGCCTGGGTGCATGCTTTGAGCACTGGTGGCAGCCAGGCTGCACAGGTGGCGCTGGGCCAGCCAGGCTTGCTCCAAAGTCACCCTAGAGGTCACTCGCATGCATCCAACATGTTCTGCTTCGTTATGCATAAGCTGCTTAGATTTTTCTGCTGCTGACATATTCCCTCTTGCTTGCTTCATGCTGTCAGTAAACTTGTTAATTACCAGACTGTGGATAATATTTCCAATGGAGCCGTGTTGTTTGGTGTTACTTCGGCCTTTGTGACAGTTTAGTCATCAAGTTCTGCGCTTTGCTGTAAACAAATGTCTACACAAGTTGCGTGAAGACAGAGACCCTATCTGCTGTGTTCGTACCCTCAGCTCTTCAGACAGTGCCTGGCACACAGGAGGGAGTGCTAAGCAAGCGAACGATGAGGGAGCCTCATGCGACAATCTCCATTTAGCACGGCATACCACCAGGATGCAGTCAGAATGCACTGGCGGGCGAAACAGGCCCAGGGCCTGCCAGCCCGAAGCCCATGGCTTAGCAGCTTATGTGGAGAGGGAGGATAGAGGGGCTGGAAGCTTGGGCTGCGGCCCTGAGACCCTGTAGTGGCCCACCCCCACAGAGGGGAAAGGAATCTGAGTTACTGTATCCCAGGGGAAAATCGTGGTGAGGTATGGATGGGGCCAAACCACATGGGTCAAGAGGGGCTTCCACGGCTGCCCAATCCCCCCAGCGCCTTCTGCACGGGGAGAGAACTCCAGCCTGGCCTGGACCTTGCAAGAGGGGTTCGGGATTGGAGCCTTGTTCCTCCCTAGCTGGTGATGCCATGGACAGGTGTGGGAAAAGGTGGCCGATGTTTGGAGGTGGGAGGATGAGCAGGAGCCAGGGAGGAGGAGAGTGAGCAGTGGAGTGGGGGACGCCTGTGTCCAGGGTGGCCGTGAGCTGCTGGAAGACCAGGACTGAGATCTGACCACAAGATCCGCAACCCAGAGGGACCTGGACGCTTTGGTAGAGCCTTGGGGAGTGAAACCACCCCTGGGA